AGAATGCCTTTGAATCTCTCCAGAGAACATTTTCTATAGCCTCCAGGCACTGGGATGTGGCACAAGGGCATTCCTTCATCTCCAGGTCAATCCAGTGCGGCCAAAGCTGCTAAGCCCATCCCTTTCCTTCAGACATACATGGGAGGAAACTCCCCTTTCTGCTACTGGACTATACAAGAGAGGGGAGGGAAAGGGAAGAAAGAAAAAAACCACCATCTTCTGTCCACCATTTTAGAGAGAGAAAGGGACTTCATCAGCTGCTTTCCTATCTGACATCCCAACAGAAAAGGCAAGAGAGCAGGCTGTTAGGTCCTCACTGCATTAGATGTGAGAGGAAGCAGGATAGGAAGAGGGCAAGAAGCAGCCAACAAAAGGTAAGAAGAGATGCTAAACTTCCCCATGTTCTAATGCTGTTGCATTTGAATCCGAATCCTTAGAAACCTAAAACCCAGCTGTGGAAAAAATACTTTGGGAAAGCTGGGTGGGGAGGGAAGGATGGCTTTCTCAGCAGAACTACATGTTGCTTTGTTTTGTATTTGCATGCTTCATCCAAAGTGTTACACAACACGAAGCTTTATATAGCTATATGAGAACACACGCTCTCCACACATCCAGGGAAAAACCCCAACCACACCAAAATCAGAATCAAAAAACCTCACCCAAGTCTAACAGGACCCTAATGCAGATTGCTGACTAGGTAGCACAACAACAACAAAATCATGCATTAGAAAATATTCCTTGCTCAGCTGTGAGAGAACAGCTTTCTCAAGATGATTCTGTGTAACTCCATGCCCCAAATTCACTAACATTTGCCAGATAGCAACGGCTGCTGCAGGATTCCTTTGGCAAACGCTGTATCTCGGACTTCTCTCCTTCTCAAAACGCTGCAATTTCCTGTGGAATGGAGAAATCATCTATACTACAAAGGGGTGCAGTACTGGCACTTCTAGGAGTAAATAATTTTATAGCAACATACAGTATAGAGAGAAGTATCACACCGGGGCAGAGAAATTCCCAAGCGGAGAGAGATTAAAAAAACATTCTGATAAACAAACGCCGTCAAAGCTTATATTTTTTTAGTCAGTGCAAAAAATATTGGGTAACTGTTTGCTGTTCCTAGAAAGAATGGAATTCTGTTGCCAACAGCTGTAGTTTTTTTGCAGGAATTATAATACTATATTTAAGATTTATGTTCCTGACAAAGGCATGAAGTTATCCAAACTAGAGCAGAAAAACCAGAGCAGTCTTTTCCCAACAAAACAGACCCACATTATTTTTCTTAACTCTTACTACGGCAGAAGTTGTAATCTTCAAAACCAGGAACTCATGCTGTGGTGGATTTTTATAATGATTAAGTCTTGCAATGCCACCCTGTACTGAACTGTTTTATCATAGTTTCTTACACAAGCATGAAACACACCCTATCATCTTGAAATAAATTAAAATCATAAAAATTTACCTCCAAAAGCACACGACTTTTAAATTTTCTTCTTGAGCTTTTAGGGTTTTACAGTGATACTTTCCTTTACCTTAAGAAAAGGTTTCACCGAAGCTGTGGCCATCCAACAGATGCATATGAGAGAAGAGAAAGGTGACCCTAGGCAAAAGGCTGTCCTGGGAATAAAGGAAACAAGCAAGGGGAAAGAATCTTGGGTGTCTTTGCTGCAATTATACAGATGCAAGTGGCCCTACCTGCCTGCATGTCACTCTCCTGATTCCCATGGAAAAACTATTCCTTGTGCTCTGCAGGATTAGGGTCTTCTATGTTCCTTGGAAATACAGCAGATAACAGCATACAGAACTATTATTTTTAAGTCAACTGACATTCAGCAATAAAACCCAGGATATCACAGGTTTTAAAGTTAATTTATTTGCAAGCAGCCAAACAGCATACTCTGGGTTGAATACTGGGCCAATTTACAGTTACACTCCATGCTGCTCCATGAACATTACACCGAGTTACACAACTTGGGAATCAGTAAATCCATTGCCTTGGATGAATTTGCCCAAAGGCTCCCGATGAGTCAGTGGCAGTGTCTTGTTTAGGTCTCAGACTTTGGCTTCCATTTCAGAGCTGCTCGGCCCACCAGATCATATTTACACTACAGCACCAAAAATGTTTTTATTTCTGTCCTTCAGAAATTGCTTTGTTTGGTTCAGTCGTTTTGTTGTTTGTTTGGGGCTTTTTGTACTAGGGGAAGAAAATAAATTAAAAGCTTCTTAACAATTACAGTTGCGATTTATTTTTTTTTTAACTGGGAACCAACAAACTATATTTCTCAACTGAAGCAGAGATAGAAAGGCTGATCTCTTTGAACAAAATGTACAATAATCCAAAGGCCTACCAAAAAAAAATCACTATGCACATTCTACAGTTTTTTTTCATTTAGATAGAGAAAATCTTATAGTCTACTTTTATTGACTTTAAAAATCCTAAGTGTAGTCAGTGAGATCTGAAAGACTATAAAATAAAACCTTATTTCAAGGAAAAACTTGCCACCAGTCCTTAGTCCTGCACAAGATCTGCAAAAACTGAGGATATTTTGCTAGAGTAAACAGAATTTTAATTGAGCATAAACAAGTGAACAGCAGGCATACGATTTCCATAAGTATGCATGATTCAAGGAAAAAAAAAAAGATTTAAAAATCTAGGGCCATAAAACCAACTTCAATTTTAGAAGTTGTAGGGTCTAAAAAAAGATAGTGTGTATGTGGCAGGCTTTTTTAACTACAAATGGATTCTCTTAAAAAAAAAAAATTCCCACTGACAAATCACCATTTATAGGAACTGTTTCCAATAAGGCAGAAGTTAAGTTATCTAGCATGGGACTAAAGAACATACTTAATTTTAAGAATTCTTATAGTTTCATAAGAGCCAATGGCTTTTTCCATGCTTACAGCCAAGCATATGCTCAAGTATTCTACCAAGATAAAAGCTTACAAGGTTGTTGTGTAGGAGGCAAAGCAAGGCTTTTTATCCCAAACAACATTTTCTTGCATGTAATCAGCACTCATGATACCGCCACAGTTTTCAGTTCATTCCAGGGTGCACTAGGCATTTATTAGGGCACAGATGATGGTCTCTTTCTTTGGGTTCTAAAGAACATGCCTAAATATTAAAACAAACTTGGCTATCTGCCTCTTATCCTGTTCTTACATTCTGTATTGTCACAGTAAAAATAACAGTAACCTTTGATCTAATCTGGAAGCCTTTTCTAATTTACACACAAAATTTGGCAAAAGGATTATCAAGTACAGTCAGCCTACTTGAAACCGGAGAACTTGATATGTATAAATCCAGCACGTTAGTCACAAGGAGTCAAGAACGGGAACCAGCAATCCACAAAACAATCAAAAGAACAAAAATTTGAAACATTTTTTCTAGTAACAAATTATGCAACCCTGACTGTACTCAATGGCTGTGTGTGTGCTCCTGGAACTGCAAGGATTATTCAACAGCTTACCCAGCAGTCAGCAACCGAATAGGCTGATTTGTAAGGTAAATAAATAACGTTAGCACCACAGGATTTGTCCTAACAGTAAGCAAGGTCTTCTACAACATACTCAATGCCACAAGTTTCTGCTAAGAACTTGCAGTGTTTTACCCTGTGGGCAGCACAGGACATTTATTTCCCAAATTCTGAAAATTATTTACCCATTTCCAAGCAAGCAGAAAGCAACCTCCACATAGACCCAACGGAAAGACAAGTTGTCACAGTACTCCATTAAAAATGTTCTAAGGTAAGATAATGTCAGATTTGTCCAGCAGATCCTGACAAACGTTCTTGAACATGAAGCTAACTGGGATGCAGCTGTACACAATGGTCACCAGGTCCTAGTCACCTATCTTCACAGGCTTTCAGTCTCACGCAAAGCACACTGACATCGGGAAAATCACATCATGTGCATCAAAATGCATATGACCAATCTCAAATGGGGCGGGGGGTGGAGTGGAGGGCTTGGAGAAAGGTTAATCAGACTGCTTGGAAACCATGTTCCCACGTGAGAACTATTTCACTGCTTGGAAACTACATCAAAATGCATATGACCAATCTCAAATGGGGCGGGGGGGTGGAGTGGAGAGCTTGGAGAAAGGTTAATCATTCTGCTTGGAAACCATGTTCCCACATGAGAACTATTTCACTGCTTGGAAACGATGTTCCCACGTGAGAACTATTTCACTACCTCACTGGTAACATGAGGTTAGCAGCCAGCGCACGCTGCCAGAATCTAGGGCAAGAAACGTGCATTTTAAGCAGCCACCTTGACTTCAAACCAGCTCAACAATTGCATGCACGGACTGGTAAAGAAATAACTTCTGAACAAACATCAAGTCCAGAAAACTAGTTTTAGAAGTCCATTTAAAAGTCAGAAAGCCTGAGATTTGACTGAATAAGATTATAATAACACCCACTAAATTGGTTAGCTCCTAAATTTGTTTTAAAACTAAGCAATGACTAGTAATTTTGGAAGTAATGATCCTAGACATTTGCACTCCAGTAAACTTAATAAACTAAATAAATCTAAATTAGCATATGGTACTAAATCAAAATGGCATTAAAATAATAATAAAAGTAAGTAAATAAAAATTCTGTCAATATGAACAATACAGAAACAAACCACTGTAAAACATACATAAAACAAACAATAATAAGGTATGGATGGTAAAGAGACAGTTATGCAGCTAGTCAAAACTACTATTTATAGTCCATTCCCTTTGAGGTAATGGAGTCTGAGTCCTCCTACACCCCAGCCTCTCCCAAGAAAGCCTCTCCTGCTGTGTCCCCGTCTCCTGAAACTCAGCCCTGCTCACTCCCCAAACTTTGCAATACTTCCTGGCGTTTGGTTGGCTTCCAGGAAATTCAGGCTGTCCCCTTTCGTTGGTATCAAGCTCCACATCTACACAACGCATAACCTGGAATTACCGTACATTCAATACTTTCAAAATTATGGCTTGAGAACAAGCTTAAAAACAGCAGAAACAACAATCCTGGCCTTACCTGCAGGATCTGGCACTGTTATTTCCTTACGCTTCACCACCAGCTTGTCTTTAACCCATGGGAACTCCTGTAAAGAATCCAAGAACACATCAAAAGCCTTGGGTCCTCTGGTGGGGAGAATATCAAGGAGCATCATGGTTTTCCTCTGACTGGTGGTTTGAGATTTTATTTCTTGAACATGGCTGTCTGTGAGAATCCCTTCTTGGTAGAGATACTGAATAACAATTCCATCCACCAGCACCTCTGTGCAGAGCTCCAGACGCAGGGAGCGTAAAAGCTGCTTGTCTCTAGCATCCATGTGGCAACCTAGAGAGTGAGAAAAGGAGTAGGGAAATCAATAAAAATTCAAATACTTCAACTTTTATCATCCAGAAGTGATGTTTGATACCTGGCAACCTTTAGAAAGAATGCCAAACTCAGAATCACCAACCTGGGAAAGCTATTAATGATCCCCACCATCTTCTTTCTGCTTAGCTTTCACTGTCTTACAAGCTAAAATGCAGCAGTATCTGGGAAATATTAGACAGGAAGAGAACCTTTGGCATTGTGAAGACCAGTCCTTCACTGGAATAAAAACCATGCCAAATAATCCTGCTCACTAACTAGCCACGGTCCATGCCAAAGGCAGCTAGAGCATTTGCCAGTCCTTAAAAGACTCTATCCCCCAAAAGTTAGAGGGATGTCACACCTGACCTCTGTTACTGATGCCTCTGACACTATTACTGTCGCAGCCCTTTTGCTGCAGTAGTGCAAAAGCAGCAGCAGGACTGCTAGATGCACCACAGACAGGCAGCAGTGGCAGGGACAGAGTCAGCAGGTAGCTCTGGCCTATGAGATGCATTTTAACTTCAGGAGGGGTGGAAATGTACCTTACGCACCAGGTCATTTTTCCCCCAACTCATCCTGGAAGGCTGCTCTGGAACTGAACTGATGATAAGAAACTTTCTCCAAATTTCCTTCTCAAATTTGCCCACCTTCTATTTATAGGCATTTTTCCTGCCAAAACTGTTCTTTAGTTTAAGTAGCTCTTCTCCCTCCCTGGTATTTACCCTTTTAATGTGTTCACAGGAAGCAATCAGATGCCCTCTGCCAGCTTCCATTTCACTTGACTAACACTCTGACTAGACAAAAGCTGGAAAAAATTAATTTTATAGCCACTCAACAGAAGAGGAATCAAGGTCCAGAGAGACTAAGCGACTCATCCAAGCTGATCCTGGGAACCCGTGCCAGACCTATGAACCGAATCAAGATGTCTAGTCTCATCCTTAACAACAAACATATCCCTAGGCCCATTAATGGCACTTGAAAAGGAAAATGACAGGGTAATACAATTAAATACTCTCTCATGACTAAATAATGAAGTAAAAAAAACTGTGGCAGGTGCTGAGTGTGAGGACTGACAAGCCAGTTTCTGATAATTAAACTAGAAGCTGCTGTTCGAATAGCTAGACCTTGCAGAAATTGTACTTCATCCAGCTTGAGGATACAAGGAGAGACATAGATTTTCAAAGCTTTTGTAAGAAACCTGCTGAAGTCTTTATATCACCAGAGATGCCCACTGATTCCCAGGGCTCCATCAAAGGTTAGTTGGTTGGCCTGGTTGTTAAAATCTAGGGCAGGCAACCAAGAGAACATATAGGCACACAAATGGTATCTTGGGCAGGATGCAAGAGCGTAGGACCATGAGTCTGTGACACCCTTGGACAGAGCCACTTTCCAAAAATGCTTCCCCTGAGTGCTGAAAGCATTGCTGGGTGGTACTTCCCAGGAGTACTCCTTCTTTCCTGGGTTACCCAGTACGTTTCTTGTATACTGAAGTGAATTTTGAGGTGCCTACCTTCTGTCTAGGGGTCATCTGGGAATCAAACAACAGCTATCCCGGCACATGTCCTTAAAAGACGCTAGTTTGTTAAGCATAGCTCAAACATCAAACTCCACCATGGAGTGAGATGATAGTGCAAGCAAGGAGATGGAGAAAGAGCAGGTGAGAAAGAGAACTGGATTTCCCATTCTGATGTTAGGATACTCATTTTGGACAGGTGAAGCTGAAGATTCTGGTCTCTAACACACACTACCTTTATACCACCAGGAGCAATCACTGGACTAAAGCAAAACCAGATAAAATTCAGGCAGCAGATCCTCACCATTTCTCCCTTACAGGATTCCCTGATGGCTCTTGAGCTCATGAAGCACTTGCAGAGTTCAAGACAGGCACCCAGCAGCAGCTCTGAGTGCATTATCTCAACCCAGGCAGAAAACTGTTTCAGACGCCATGAAGCTCCACATTCTGAACGGGTCACTGAGAGTCCCCATCTAGAAGCTTCCTCACCCACATGCCGGACAAGGAACAAAAACTTCTCCAGTCACTGTACTGCACTTGATCAGTTCCCCTTCTTCATGACCAAAGCAGCCAAGACTTTTCAAAAATAATGCTTTTTCAAACCATCTCAGTTTTTACCTTCATGCAAGAAAAAATGCCCATCAACCCACAAATCTGAAGGGGAAAATTCTGCTGAAAGAGGCCTTTAGCTCAATGACTGCAGAGCAAGCACAATTGAGGTGTTAGAGAGCCCTTAACACCAAGGTCAGTGGCTCACTAAACCTCCAGGATGCGATGTATTTATTTTTCAGGTCTTTTTAAAGATTAAGAATATCTTTGTGTGTGTTTACTGTGAGAAGGAAATATCTGAGTCAGGAACTAAGCAGACAGATATGGAAATGTATTAGGATTTTGGTGCTTGGCTGCATAGAGATGGAGTTTAGTGCAAGATAGAATTCATTTAAATTAATTTTAATCACAGCCTATATCGAGGGATCCAAAGTAAGCTCTAAAATATTTTTTCTCTAGCAATGCTGGTGCTAGAGGGAAAGTAAAAAGATGAGACATCTGTTTACCCAAAAGATGACATGGCTCAAACCTTCCCCAGATACTTCTAAAAATGCATCTTTTCCATCGAGGA